TAGAGTGTAAGCACTGTGAGGGCAGGGACTGTGTCTGTTGTTCATGTTCCTGTCCTGTGTTATCAAGAAGTCTAACACAAATTAGGTATTCAAAGAATGTTGCACCTTGAAAAAGTATACACTTAAGCTCTTAGTTCAGCTGGGGAGATTTCCTGAAGAAGTTAAGCCACTTGGATGCCCTCCTAAAAGCTCTACAGCATTCTCAGGTCCTGGGGCCCATAATTGGGCACGGAGTGAGAGAGTAAGGATCTTGAGAACCCTGTGGATTAGTGCAGTGCAGGGCAGGACAGGCAGAGAGGGTTTGGGGACTCAGGGGAGGGGAAGGAATAGCCACTTGGGGATCAGAAAATGCTTCCCAGAGCAGGGCACATTTCTCTGAGAGTTCAACAGTTGAGATGGTCATGGGGAAGGCACACCCAGCTGAGAGAACACCACCAGCAAAGGCTTGGAGGCAGAAAAGTGCAAAGCACCTCAATGAGTAATAATCAGTCCCTTTGGTCTGGAAGAGAAGGAGAGTTAAAGAACTACTAGGAAATAAGGCTGGAAGCATAAGTTGAAGCTTGAGGGTAGAGGACTTGAATTCCAAGTCAAGATCAAGAAGGAGGAGCTATGAAACCACAAGGGGTCCAGTGTAAGGATGAGGAAGGCCCTGCTTGTCTGGGAAGGTAGGGGAAGGTGGTAGGCAGTAAAAGGAGTTTATTCACTAAATCCTGGGGGTGGGGAGGATATAGTGATATGGGGGTCCTAGTAGATCTGGAGCTGATACTAGGCTACATCCAGTGTGGGGAGCTAGGCAACAACCTTTGACCTAAATATCTCTTTGAATCCACTGTTTTACATGGGGCTGAAAATCCTCTCAGAGGAAAACAAATTTGAACCAAGCCCATAACTGGATCACGTATATACCAGCATAATTAGATAATCCAATGGACACCATATTGCTGGAAGGGTCAGCAGAGCTCTAGAGAGAAACCTAATGATAGAGGAGAGGGCAGTCTGGCAGATGAGGCTGTTTCCACAATAGGACTAAGGGTTGAAGAGGAATCATGGCTCTGGTTCAGTATAATGGCACTTATAAACTCACCCTATTTTTGCTCCTCTGGTGGTAGTAGGTGTGCAAAATGAGACGAAAAAGGATCTGTTAAATAAGTGGAAAAAGCCATCTCTGAAACACTCAAGAGCTTAAACCACCCTGCTGTGGGGCTTCATGTCCCCCAGCTGCAAGTAACACGGACGGAGTCTTCTTCTTACTTTGTGAGAGAGGGTCTCTCACACTGTCATGGTACCATGAGAATTGAGTGCATCAAGCAGAGGCATTCAAGGCTAGCATCCATGGTGCACCTAGCTACAGAAGCCAGTGGAGCACAGTGGCTTGGATTGATCCATGGGCACAACTGAAGCTTTTTAAAAGGAACATTGCTATTTCTACAGGACTGGTATTTCTACAGGAGTGGGGCTGGGGAGTGAGGCTAGAATTAGCAAAACTGGTGTATTAATGTAAACTCATTGCTACCACCAGCCGGTATAGATGGTAGGGAGCATCCGCATTGGTATAGACAAACTATAAGGCAGTCCAGGGAATAGAGCCACCAGGAGACAGAAGTTTGTGAGTAGATTTGGTAAAATGGAAGGAGCCTGGCTAGAGGAGAGGAGAAGTTGGCACCACTTTAAAGGGGCCAGGATGAATGCTGGCATCCGAACAGTGATGGAAGTGCTCCAGCAAGGGACAAGAGAGAGCTGAACTTGAAGCTGAGATGGGAACAGGCCAAAAATGGGAGTGCTGGTGGCTGATGACCAGAGGAAAATTAATGAAGGAATCTTCACTCACTGAGCATCTACCTCATGTTGGTTGGGCACTGTGGTAGGTGCTTTCTTCACTTTGTGTAGGTATTATGTCCATTTTATAGTAGAGGAAACAGACTTTGCCTATTCATCAAATAGATATACCTGGAATATAAAGACAACTAAAACACAGTCTTTCTCCTTGAGGAGCTCAGAATATTGTAGATGAGGGATACAGAGGCAAATCATTTTATTACAGAGCTGTCCTTAGACAAGAGCAGATGCAAGCACAAGGTGCAATGAAACTACAGAGAGGCTCCCCAAGGCATGGTCAGTAAGTGTCAGAGCCAAGATTCAACTCCTGGAATGTCCAGATCTAAACCTTAGCACCTTCTACCACTCTAGCTACACAGCTACAGCTGTCAGGACCCTTAGTCATAGTCCAAGTTCTGAGGAAGGGCAGTAACACTTACTGCTGGCAGGGAATGTTTAAGAGCAAGGAAACGACATTGGGAATTGGGAAGTGTCATGTACCAGTGACTCAGAAGCACCTCAGGCCCAGAAGAGATGATGAGCAGAAGAGGAGAGGTTACCAGGTCATGAAGATCCTCCCCGGGGACAGCACTGATTCCAGAGCCTAGAGGTGGCAGTGAGTGGTTCTATCTACAGGAATCACTGGGGCAAGTGAGAAACCAGGCTGTTCTTAAGAGAAGCAGATTGGTACCAGAGAATGGAGGGTCTCAAAAATCAAGTAGGGATTGAGAGAAGGGGCCAAAATGGAAGTGGCAGTTGGACTATGAGAATGAAATCAGACAATTCTTGGACCAGAAGGAAAACGTGCCCAATCCCTGGGATCATCATCTCCCTTTTGATTCTGTTGAGTTCAGTAGATCTTGACAGGATTGTCTGCCTTTTGGAGAACAATTCTTTTGCTTTAAAAGCTTTGCTCTTCCCTCCTTTCTTGAGCATCAGATCTGGAAGAGGCCCCAATCTCTTCCAGGGATTCTTTGCCTCTGACTAGGGGCTGGATAGCCCAAGCCAACCTTCCACAGTTGGGACAGGGCTATGGGCCACCCCTCTGGGGCATGTGAATCACAGCTGTCTCTGGAACAATGCGCAAGGCAGGGAGAAGTCAGAGGATTAGAGGTGGGGAGGCTAGGACTAGGGAAGGAACAGTAGAGCAGCTTGGGGAAGAGAGCCTCCCTGAGCAGGTGGCTCCATTTGATTTCCGATTTAAAGGGGAGGCTTAGATAGCCAAGAAGAAAAAGGCTAATAAGAAAAATATTAAACTGCAGTGTGTGTGTCCCTGGGGACTTCCTGTTGCCATGACTGACCTCCCGGAGAGCGCCATTCGTTCCCGAGCATGGCAGCTTTATAGGCACTTGTAGGCCTGCAAAGAACACCAATTTGCTGCTGCAGTTTGTTTTGATAACTGAAACTTTCAATAAATCTATATTAAAATCAAAGGGAAAATTAACTAGGCCCCAGTGAGGGGCACAGAGATAAGGGAGCACATTACCACCCTGGCCTCAGCCACCCCACATCCATCTCTTAGTTCAGATTCAGGTCACCAGGGAGATGAATGGCTCAGGCTCATGGGGAACAGCCCTGGGGAAAGCAGGGTGAAGACGGCATGGCCAGGTCCAGCCCCCACTGCTCTTGGAGTGAAGATGGTAGGGGGTGTGGGGGGAAAGGAGGTGGGGTGGTGGTGGTCACCATGGGAAGAGGTTGGAAGCTTGGTGGGGGAGGGGCAAGAACAACAGTAATAGCCAGTATTTACTGAATTCTTTATGTAGGATACTCTGCTAAGCATATTTAATTCTAATATTAGTAGGTACTAGTATTATCTACTAAGCCTCAGAGAATATGTGACTTGTCTAAGGTCACAGATAGAGCCAGGACTCAAACCTGAACAGGGTCTCTCTGAGCTCACATTCCTCCATCCATAATTGCACTATGCTATCTTTCATATCTTACAGGGACCATGAAAGGCAGATGCAGTTTTTCCAGTTCTCGGATAAAATAGTCTTATCCAGGTTCCCTCAGCTGTGCCATGTTTGGGGGCTGCCAGGCACAGTCCTTGGGTCCTGGGTTCTCTGCCCTTCAACTGCTGATTAGGGTCCCAACTTTGACAGCCATCTTGCTGTTTTTTCTGATGGTTTGACAAGGCAGCAGAAGAACCAATTTGGTCCTCTTTGATTTTTGTTCTCAGTATTCACTTTAGCTCAGTCACTTAACCAGCACCTAGGCAGTCTACATAGGGTTTATCTGTGCCTGTACTGGACTCAGTTCATCTGCCTCCAAAAATTTACTTGCCCCATCTGCATGCCCCACCCTGGGCCTTGGTCACCTGTTTTCTGCACAGCCCAACTGCTACTACTATCATGTCATTTACTAACACATCTGGTTGTCTTAGCTTCCTCTGGGAGAACAGTTAGATTCTGACAGAGCTTCCAATATGCCCACTGTGGTGGGACTGCATGGCCTAATCTGACCAAACCAGAGGCTCCTCTCACCATTTCTAGTCTCAAATGAACCACTGTGCTTTAGGGTATGGGATCTGGTGCCCACTGTGGCTACCAGAGTAGTGGGGTAGGTAACACAACCTTCTCTCCCTCCCTGTCTGAGAAGTGATGGTTCTACATGGTCTGTGTGACAGAGCAACTAGCTGTGTTTTCTTTTAAGCTTCGGTCAACTTTTTTTAATATACTATATATTTTCTTCCCCTCCTTCCTGGACTCACTTCCCTTCTTCCCTCTCACTCTTGCTGTCCTGGGATTATACTTCCCAATGAAATCTTATCACATAAGCTTTGCCTCAGGCTGTTTTTGATGCAACCAGAAAACACAGGGAATCACAACAAAGCCAAAGGCTGGAGGGAGCCAATTGTTGGGTTAGGCAGCAGTGTAAGGCACCAAGTGTATACTGAGCTCTTAAACTGTTCTATTATTTGAATGCATTTTGCCTGGTGTTTATCCAAAAAGAGCTTAGAGTCTGGTGAGGTCCTGGAAGCTCCAGAGCACCACGGAGGAAAGTGCACATTTGGGGGAAGTTAAGGGGACCTTGGAAGGCTCCATGGAGAATACAGGGGCTGGGCCTTAAAGCAAGCCTCCAATCCTCACAGTGTAGGTTTACTTCTTATAGCCAAGAAGGTTGGCTATGCCCTATTCTCAGGCGAGACTCAGGATAGAACAAAATCAGAGACTGGAGAGACCATCTTAGAACCTCTTATTTATTGCCTTTATTTATCTGTTTTCTTGTTTCTTGTCTGTTCTTCCTCCCCCTCCTCCTCCCCAATATAAAAGCTCTTTGAGGATACAGGTTTTGTGTGTCTTATTCACCAATCAATCCTCAGCAACAGAAACAGTGCCTGACACGTAGCAGAGGCACTATAAATGTATGTTGACTGATTTGATCGCCTGGGATTAACATCTAGATAACATGAAAGGGAGGAGGAAGACCCAATTCCAGCTCCAATAATCAGGGAATGGGCAGATGTGCCTCTACTTTACTGACCTTGGGTTAAATGACACCTGTCCCTGTTGATGTTTATTCCCTCATTTGTTCACATTTATTGTGCACCTGCTTTGTGCCTGGCTCTGTGCTGGGTATTACTGATACAGCATAAGTATGGAAATAATACCTACCTTAAAGGAGTTTACAGCCCTAGGAAAAAGACAACAAAGAAATAGACAATTATAAAACAAGGTGATAAATTCTGTAGGTGCAGAGTAGAATCGCCTAATCCATTATGTGGGATTAAGGAAACATTCTCTGTTATGGGGATTACCAGGCTTTCCCAGCTCAGGTGGGAACCATTCATTATGTTAAGGTCAGATCTCACGGAGGTGGTAGAACCCAGAAATGACATCATTTTCTTAAGTGAAAATATGCAGAGGGCTTGGTGACTGAAGCTGAGCACAGAAGATGGTTCTTGTCCGACTGGGAGGCTGTCAAAGCCATCACTGGGTTGGCCAAGACTGGGGTTTCCCAGCTCAGAACATGGTACCCACGTCTTCCCACAAAGTCAGAACCAAAAAGAAGAAACATATCACCGGTTTTGGCCAGAGTTCTCTCCAGCTGACTGAAGAGACTGACTGTGGAAAGTCCCCACAGCTGAGGCCAGAGTCCTTTTAACTCTGAAGTTCCTCATGGAGCAGACCTGAAGACCTCAGTTCCGTCTCCCTCAGGAAGGCCCTTCAGAAATCAAAGCATTTTCTTCTAAACCTAAAATCCCCTTCCTCTCAGGTGTCCCCCGGGCCTACCTCAGAGAGTAGATGATAATAATGACTTGTTGAATGAACGAATCATGAGAAGGTGACATCGAAATAAAACAGGTCACCTAATGAGCCTATACTCACCTCCTGAGTATATTAGAAGGTGGGAAAACGGAAGTGGAAGACTTGAGCCGTTCTAGATCTTAGAAAGTTTCGGTTTTAAAAAATTTCTTTCCCAGCTGATCAGTCACTCTCTTCTAAGTACGTGCAACCTGGAAACTACAACTCCCATAAGGCTAGCCGCACGGAGTCACCATCTTGACACACCTTAGCGCGCATGTCGGCGGGAGAGCGAGCATTTGGGGAGAAGAAGCCCCGCCCCCACTGCGGCCCATTGGTCGAAGGAGCCGGCGGCGGGCTCAGCGGTTGGCCACCGCGCCCGCCCGTCCGTCGCGACGGCCGGGGTCAGAGTGCGCGGAGGTGAGTCGGTGTGTTGTGGACTCGTGGTGCTGGCTGCCGCTGTTGAGGCGGCCGGGAACGGGCGGTGGGGAGCGGGCGGAGCCGGCCCTGCCTCTGCCTGGCCGGCGCCTCAGTCGGCGCGGGCCGCGCCCGCCGCCGTAAACTGCCCTGAGCGCCTGCTCAGGCCGAGGGAGACGTCCGGGCCTGCACCTGAAGGGAGCCTGCCGCGCTGGCCCCGAGGAGGGGGCGTTGCCATGGCGACAGCCTCTCCCGCTGCTGACGGGGGGCGGGGGCGGCCCTGGGAAGGAGGGCTGGTCTCCTGGCCCCCTGCTCCTCCCCTTACTCTCCCCTGGACTTGGATGGGCCCGAGTTGGGGGCAACACCCCGGGGTGGGTGATGCGGAGAGGCCCCCCAAATTGGGCCCTGGTAATGCATGCGGGGTGAGGGTCGCGGCGCGCAGTTTGTGCAGCCTGGGGTGCTGGCCTATGTGCTCACCCTGGATGCATGATCTACTGAGTAACGTTCTGGCGGAGAGGGAGACGGGCAGGGTTTTGCAAGGCAGACTGGATGAGGTGATTAAGGGTGCTGACTTGTTACCTGGAATTACTTAGGAAGAGGAAAAGAGGTTTGACCAAAGAGGACAGAAACCCAGCAAGGAGGTAGTAGGTAGAACATCCCCTTTACCCCCTCCCCAACACACACACAGACAAACAAGGTTAGTGATTTACTTCTTTGTAAATCTGTAGCAGTGGTAGTAGCGATGGTGGAAGGAGTGAATAAGGGGCCTAACCTGGCTTGCTTTCTGTTTGCTTTTCCTGCAAATGTTCCAGCAACAGGTGTTTTCTTAAAACAAAAAGGCACAAACTTGGATTGTGGCTTGACTGCTAGTTCTTGCAAAATATAACTGCTCCTTGTTGACTTGGAAGATGCTAAACGTGGCCCCTGATTGGGGGTTTGCATTCTGTCCTTAGGGCTGGGTTTTGCAGACTGATGGTGCCCATCATTGCCTCAGCTAAAGGTCTCTGGCCACTTCTCTGGTATTAGCTCTTGTCAGACATTTTATCAGTCTCCCTGCTGCAGGGCAAAAAAACCGGAATCCCATTGGCTAAAGACTATACACTATTTGAACTATAGTAGGTTGTGATTGGCTGAATGATTTTTGATTGTAGAGTTTCTACCAGAAATTGGCTTCATCAAATTCTGCTTTATTCTGACTTTATCATACACAGCATGCCTTGTTTTAGTGGGTTCATGCCTAGAGCTTAAGTATATTATACCTGAATCCCTTACCATTTAAAAGCCAATTTATAAACAGGGACTTGGAGTGTGACTCCACTAATGTGTGTGTCTGTGATCTTGGTTAGAAACCCACTTGGCTGCCTTTCGTCAGAGAGATGGGGGGTGGGGGAAGGTAGCTGCTGGGAAGTGATTGATAAGGTTTCCTTTATGGATTCTGTGGTGCTTCACTGGAGCTCAGAGCACTTTGGCAACTTAACCACTCCAAATTAAAAGCTCATTTACAATTCCTGCCCAAAGATCCTGTAAATAATCGGCTAGCTAGGTCATAGAGCTTGGCTGAGAGCTCTCCTTCCAACTTGAAATTTCCAAATAAAAGTGCTTTTTATTCCCTTTCATTTTGAAAAGTGTTTTCTTTGTGGTGGGGTAAGTTGGTGAGTGGCATTTTCCTAGGGCATCTGAGGAGAAGAAAGTGTTAAATGTGTGTAGAGTGGTAGATAGGAATAGATTGGCTCCAAATCTTGGTGTTTCTTTGTGCAAAGGATGTAACTTACAAGGGTACTTCTGTAACTTATAGTTCTTTGGAAGATCTGGTTAGTAAAAGGCGTAAGATTTATATGATTGAAGAGAAACCAGAGTATGGAAGATCTAAATTAAATGATAAGTATGATAAGTGTTCATTAATGATTTGACTTGGGGTTTGGTTACCTTGACTTTTTTAGAACTTGAGGCAGACCTGGATGTATCCTGCGAGTGTTTCCTGGTCTATGTGGCCATTTACAATATGGCCTGTGGCTTTGTGGCAGCCAGCCTTCCCCCAATCCTGGCCTCAGTTCCTAAATTCTGAGTATTGTCAGCCTTTACCAGTGTCCTCCCCTTGACTAGACCAGGATTCTGGATTATCCAGCAAGCTAACACTTCGTGGCCATCTTTCTCAGTCTGAGCTCAGACATTTTAAATGTTTAGTATTTCTAGGAGATAAACCTCCTTAGGAAGAAAAGTATGCTACTGTAGAACATGAAATTCGTCATTCTGAAAATATATACAGTTGACCATTGAAAAACAGGGGTTATGATTGCTAACCCCGCAAACACAGTTAAAAATCTGCTTATAACTTTTAACTCCCCAAAACCTTAACTAATAACCTACTGTTGACCAGAAGCCTAACTAATTACATAAGCAGTTGATTAACACATATTTTGAATGTTATACACATATATCTACATATACTTAATGCATTCATGACATCCTAACTTTTTATTATTATTTGGTATTTCTAGGCTATGTGGTTTATCTGCAAGTTTTTTCAAATTGTCACAGATCTCCAAAAAAATGTCCGATGTGTTTACTGAATAACATCCACATATAAGAAGTGGACCTGTGCAGTTCAAACCTGTGTTCAACGGTCAACTGTAGTATTAGTAACTTCTGAAAGCTCTGTACCAGCACTGTGCTTCCACATAGATACCTGTTATTTCCAAAGTAGTTTGAGTTTAGAAGTTTGAAGTATAGTGTAGTCCTTAAATTGTTTCAAACAGCAACCCCCTGGGGATTTAATCCTTTTGTTTGAAAACAGACTTGTTGCAGAGATGTGTATTTATCCACAGCATTGGGGCTTTCCAGCTCTCACGGACCCGTCAGCGTCCCCAGCGGCCAGTCTTGGCATCTTCGAAGTAAGGAGAGGTGAGAATCCTGTTGCATGGTCAAGTTTTGGCTTGACTTCTTCCTTACCGGCATTTGGGCTTGGAGGGTGGGGAGTGGGTATTTTTCTGTAGCTTTTTTCTGACAAGATACCATATGCTGAAAGACTCCCGGAACTTCCCCAAAGTCTGTAAAGTGGTGAGAGTTGGAGGTGGGGTATCCAGACTTTCAAGTTCTGTCATGATTTCTTTGTGGGCATTACATGAGCACCTACTTGAAGTTCAGGAAGATTGAATACAGCCAGAATAATCCTCTATCCTGAGAAATACGCATCTTAAGACAATAGGAAGGATCACGTTTATTTGGCTTCCGATAAATGCATTTGACTAAGGCTTTTGGGATCTTGGTTTATTTTGGGTTGTGGGTCACCTTTGAGTGGATGGTTAATCCCAGCCTATTTCCATTTCACAAGGATCTGGGCTGGCTAGAAATGTGGACTCTGATGATTGATATCCAGGATCTCAGAGGCTGTTTGTTGAATAACTAAGGTCCAAGCATTTTGCTAGGTCCTGGGATTGTGGTGGTGAACAAGACAGCTGCTTTCCCTGATACCAAAGAGCTTACAAGCTCATGGGAGAGACAGACAGTGTAGATACAATTACAGTAGCTCTGAGAGTGCTGTAACAAGGGAAGTATAAGTGCTTTGAGAGTGCTTAGAAGCATCTCCAGCCCAGACTGGTGGGTTCAGGGTAGGCTTTTCAGAGGAAGTAACCTACTCTTCTAGAATTAGATTAAGGCATGAAGGACCAAGTGTGAAGGTCAGAGATTTGTTGAGTTTGAGAAACTGAAGTTCAGTGTGATTGAAACATCAAGTACTCAGTGGGCAGAGGGCAGGAGAATGTGGTGAGAAATGAGGGAGGAAAGGTAAACAGGGGCCGCGGCCTTATAAGCTCTTAGGATTAAATGGTGGAGGGAAAAAAAATTAAGCTAGGTCAGCAAACTTTTTCTGTAAAGAACCAGATAATAGGTATTTAGTCTTTCTGGGTCTCTGTCACAACCATTCAGCACTACTATGCTGCTAGAGAACAAAAGTAGCCGTAGTATGAAAATGAATGACCGTGGCTGTGTTCCAAAAAAACTTTATGAAAACAGGTGGCAGCTGTATTTGGCTTGTGGACCAACCACTGGATCAGACTATCATAAAAGCAGTGAGAAGCCATTAAAAGGTTTTAATCAGTGGACTGATACTAGATTTGTGTTTTAGAAAGTGTGCTTTGATTTCAGTGTTAAGAATGGATCGAAGGGAACAATACCTGAGGCAGAGAGACCAGTAAGGAGGCTGTAGCAGTTACATGGGTAACATTTTATATTTTTACTTTCAGTGTTTAGAGAATTAAAAATTGAATGTCCCCGAATCTTTGCATCTATGTATACTGGTTCTCTTTGCTAATTTCCTGGCTATCTACTTGAGCTTAAAGGATATCTTTGTTGGCAATACCAGATCCTATTTCACAGACCAGAAAAGATGTGGGAAGGACAAGTTGGTATGGAATGAATGAGGAGTTTGGGGGAACTGTTTTCTATTGAAAGAAGCAGGGGATAAATGTAGCCTGGGAGAGATTTTGGTTTTTAGGCTCATAGCTTAATGTCAGTTGCTTTGAACTTATTGAACTGTACACACAGAGGGGAACCCATTTTCCTAAGCTTACCAGGGAATTGCCTTATTCTGTGTATGTCCTACTCAGTCTCCTTTCCTTGCTTGTAGGAAACTGATGACCTTTTTCTGGTTTGGGGACTGTCTCCTACTTGAGTATGATGGTATATGTCAGATACAGGGATCAAATAAAGTATTTGTTAAGTGTCTGATGAATTGTCTTCCTCCTCTTATAAGCCCCAGTGTACACTGCTGGAGAGAAGCCCATAGGTTTCTGAAAACAGTGCTAATGTGACCTTGGGCAAGTGACTTACCTCTCTGAGTTTGGCTTTCCTATCTGTAAAACGGAGATAATGGAACTTAATAGGTTGGTTAAAGGATTTAATGAGATGTATAGCTCTTAGCACAGTGTCCTTAACTTTTATTATTCATAGTATTTTACAAAATCTTTTTAAAAGCAGCCAGCAACTGGGGCAATTGGGTGACTTGGCTTTTGGCTTAGTATGTTTGGGGGTCCTCAAAATTGTCATTGTGGCCATGTGGTAAAAAACCTGTTCCCTGGCGGAGGCAGCCGGCAGACGGGAGGAAATTATAACTGAAGACACTGTTTTTCATAATGGAAAATTTTCAGACAGCAGAAGTCCCATTCAGAATTCCAGAACTTTCTTCAGGGTGGACCTTAGCCCCAGCACCATCAGTGAAATGAACTGAGTGAGCAGCTACCTGAAAGAAATTCACCAAAGCGTGGCCAGTCATCTCTCCCGATCTGTCGAGGTCATTTATTAGTGTTGCCACTCTTGTGCCCCTACATCTTTGTAAAATGCCTCCTGAGTATTTTTATTACTTTTTACCACCACTCTAGGAAGTGGGTCAGGTGGTTGGCATTATTGCCCCTGCTACACATGTGAGGAAACTGAGGCTCAGGAAGGTTAAGTGTGTTGTCCGAGGTCAAGCTGTGAGGTACTGTCAGAGCTAGAGCAGATTTACCCCCAGATGAAATTGTGTTAGTTTATTGCTATGATTTCTCTTCCTTTGAGTGAGAGATGTGTAGTCTTTGCAGAACTGCAGTCTGATGCATGCTTTGTCCCCATCTGCTAGTCTTGATTTGGGTCCCACTTTATCCACTTGGTCCTGTTGGGTTTTAATTGATGACTGCTAGGCACAGGCCTGTCGGGAAGCAGATTCCCCTTGGGTCATTGTTTTTAGTCCATCCTCCTTTGGGGACATTCTTGGGGGAGCCCTGGGTTACGAGAGATTGCTTTGATATGTTCAAAATTGTGCCTTGTGCCCCACAGCTACAGGTAAAATCAAAAGGCGGATAATTTATGGGAGTGTCAGAGCTGGCCGCTGGCACCTTAGGAGGCCATTAGTATGCCTGTTCAGATCCTCTGTGTCCTTGCAATTGATTCCTCTTTGCATGAGCTTGATTTGGGAAGCTGTAGATCTGTGGGTAGTGATTGGATGTGACAGTCCAAACACCGGTTCCCAAATTAATCCTTTTAATAGTATTCCAGCACCAGAGCAATGCTCTCTCTCTTCCTCTAATACGGGAGGACAGTGGCGGTGGTGGTGGTGGGGGTGGTGGAAGAAGGAGGGAGAAAGAGAAGAAGCTTTTCCTGGTTCTTAGGCCCTGCTCTATCCTAATGTATTCTGATTCCAGAGCAATTGACATCATAATTCATTAAGTAAACTTTGACTCACACTTACTTTGTGCCTGGCCCTGTGCTGGGAATACAGAAATGAATCAAATGTGGTCCTTGCCCCTAAGGATCTATGTCTAGCTCAGTGTTTCTCAGACTTTTTAAACTCATGCACTACTTAGATGAAAAAAACTGATCTTAGACTTTTCTTTAATGCTACTTGAAATTTTGAAATGTGTTAAAGAGTCTGACAAAAAACAAGTACAAGAAATCTCTTTTCAAATATGCGTTTTTACACACACACATATGCAACACACACCCCTTACACACTCGCTTTCTGCCATCCTCCTCACCTAACTCCTTGGAGATAACTGGTAGGAGGAGAAACAGATAACTAAAATCTGACAGTACAGTGAGATAAAAGTTATGAAATAAGAATAAACTGTGCTATGGGATCACACTTAAATAATTAACTTTCTGTTGAGGTGTCAGAGAAAGATACTGAAAGGGGGGAGACTTGAGATGGATTTTGAAGAAGGAGCAATAATTTGCCTGGTGAAAATGGAAGTACATTTCAGAATGGGGAGTAGCATTTGCCAGGGCAGAGATTTGTAAAAGGAAACATCACTATTTAGGGGCCTGAGCAAGAGCTTGTTGTCACCCTGCTTCCTGCCAGTTTCTCCGCTCTGTGAGACGGGAAGATTTCCCGGAATTGGGTCTGAGAAGAAGCTCTGAGTTCCTTGTGTTGCAGTTGTTTTAATCCAAGACACTGCTTGCTGTTTCTGCTTCTGTACGCAGGGCTGCAATTTGTTTTTCTTGTTAAAAATAAATTTGGGTGATTTGGGCGGACTTAATTTTTGCTTGTGATTGAGTTTCTTTTAATTAAAGTCATATCTTTCCTCAAAAGAAAAACTGAACTTCGTATGCCTTGTTAGCCCTATGGCTGATAGGAGAATCAGTCGAGGGGAGAATGTTGGCCCCCAAATGTGGGAGAGAACAGGGCCCTGAACAGCTGGGTGCCCCTAAGCCTTAGTATTCTCATGTGTAAAATGAGAATACTGTTACCTGTTTTGCTTGATAGTTGGGAGGCTTAAATGAGATGAAATATATAAATCACTAATACACTGCTTGGCTTATAGTAGTTTTTCAGAAAATAGTGTTTCCCTTCCCTCTGTAGTATGTATTAGCAACAGTAGCTCCTTTTTTTTTTTTTTAAGTCAGGGGGAGGTAATTAGGTTCACTTATTTATTTATTTAATGGAGGTACTGGGGATTCAACCCAGGACCTCGGGCATGCTAAGCATGCTCTCTACCACTTGAACTATACCCTCCCCCCAATAGCTCTTGTTTTACTGAGAACTTACCATTATGCAAAGCACTGTGTATACATTGTGTGGTTGAATGGAATCCCTAAGAGATAGGTATTATTACTGTAGCTGTTATTACAGAGAGTATGTGGTGGAGTCAGGATTTGAGCCTATGTTTGTCTAATACCGGCATTTTTAACAGCTTGCTGTGTGACTCCTTGTTTCTACTCCAGTTCTCCACCTTGGTAGCAGGGGTGTAGACGGTTCCGGGTACCTCCCCTCTGGGGTCAGATGCTGTCTACAAGTGAGGGAGGGATGAGCGTAGTATACTATACCCTGCACCCCTCCATTTCTATCCTATTTACAGTGTGTTAGGAGAGGAGCCTTTGCCCCATCTTATGTGCGATGGGTCACAACTGATCTGCAGGTCCTTGCAAAGACA